GTACAACGGTAAAGATAAACAGAATGCAGGTAGTATTTTTTCCCTTTAGATTGTGATTAGTTTCACCATATATATATATATATATATATATATATATATATATATATATATATATATATATATATATATATCTGCAGTAGAGTAACGCTATGTAACCCATAACCGTCGAGTTACAAAGTGCCCAGCTGTGAGGAGATATAGCCTGGCCTTGGCCGTAGTTCAAAACGAACATGTTTCCAACATGCTGGAATCATGTTAGAACAAACATATACCATAGGAATGGTTAAATCTAATATCAGGGAACAGGTTTGATGGACCTTAGGTTACCTATCATTCATTATCTGATCTTAATTCTACGACATAGTAGTACAAGCCCACACCATAGGACTGGCTAAATTTAATACCGAGAAACAGGCTCGTTGGCCGTAAGGTTACCTTGCATTTATTATCTGTTCTTAATTTCGAGAAATATATCGAGGATATTAACGGTTGCCAACAATTCAAATATCAAAATGAACTGGTCTTAAATCCCTCTCACTGTTGGCTATATTACGCCCGAAAGCAAAACAAATTCTGAGTCAGATTTGGCAATAGTGCTTGTAAAGGAATAGTTTGTAAGATTCCTTTAAACAAATTAAATAAATTTAAGAGGATGGATTCTTAGACTTAAGACTATTTAGTTAGAACGTCTGGTTTGTTTATTGTTTAAAATGTTTGCCAAATTCTGTGTAATTGGAGCTCGACTGGCCACACACAATGTCCACATATAAAAACTGTTAGCCATGCTTACACCTATTGTATTAATGCTTAAAAACATTCAATGACCAGGGAAATAACAATTTATTACGGATCTAATGGGCATATTTCGAAATATGGAGTAAATTTAGTGTTAATTTTATTTTTAAAATCTTTGAATACTTGATCTGTATGGCGTACAATTTGCTGTAAAAATTCATTTGGGGGAGATATTTAAAATCATGTTCAGTTTCGTCCAAATCTGTAATATTTTTTGAAACCCTCACGTGAGAAATCACTTTTGAAGACATTTATAATTTGACCTTCATTTCGTGCCAGTGAGTAGCACGTGAAATGCGAAGAAGACACAATGAAACCATTCATAATTTGGTGTGAATGTCGTGAAATGTGTGTAGGCTTGACCCACATTGCAAGTATTTACCAACAAAACAGTCCGGTCTGGTCGCGTGGTAAATATTGGACGAGGCTTGAACCAGGCCAAATATACACAGAATATATCATCGCCAAACACACAGAGGCTTAAATCAGCACATTATGCACAGGTGAAGCTGCTTAACAAATACAAAATAACGATTTTTTTATGTTTTGTTTTTAATCACATGAAAACAAATGTACGTTTGAAATGTTGACTGCCTAACGTATCCAAACTCTGTTTTCACCGAATTTACCAGGGGGTCAAAGATTCTCTACAACGAGAGACAGGTAAAATCCACAATACAGCACAAGAACCGTCTTCAAAACAGCCTGTCATGAAAATTTACTAGACTACTTGTTTCGATTCATTACACTGACAGTTTCCACATATAAGTTACCCTTAACGAACTTGACTGAATGAAAAGGAAAAAGATCGGAAAACATAAAACCAGCGAGGTTCTTGCCCTCTGATCAGGGTCTCCCAATTCTTCACTCTTTTGGTTTGAGTGAAGTTGTTAATGATTGGGATTGGAAGTCTGAGTCAACTTAAAAGTTCAGAGAAATATTGCTAATGAATACGAGGCAGCAATAAAGTTAACGGAGGATACACTGAACCCCAGAAATCACGAGGATTAAAAGCTGACTTTTACCACCAAGGGGCGTGCATTAAAGAGACAGCACAGAAATAAATAGTAGAAATACATTTACACAATCCAGAATAATCTCAATACACAGACAGTACATGTTAATACAATTAATTAAAAATAAAAAGACATAAAAAAAATTTGGTATACACTTTTGGTTTTATCCAATCGTTACTTAGTATAGACACATTCAGAATAACACACCAAGTATTCAGGTAGCGTTCACTCCCGGATTAAATCGTTTGAATCTGATGCGATCTTAATGATGTAGTGCGTACACATTGCATTCAAACTGATGTGCACAAGGCATGTCGCCTCGGGAAGAAATGTCTCTCATTTGTATTTATGTAAAAACAGCCAATTTTCTACTGGTATATACTTATGTAACGTTATATCAAGTAAATGACCAATAATTGATATCGATATTGAAAAGACAAAGGCCATATTTGGTCACTTCTACTTGATAATAGGATGGAGGCGCTCCTGCGCACCGTGAATTGGCTATATTGGTTTTAACATGGGTTTTAGTACTGCCATAAGTTACCCCTTATGTGATGTATAGCATTTTTCTGATGGGGCTGTTATGAAGAAAACTGGATTTATTTGTGTTATACAAGTACCACTTCTAAATATCTAATAACTTTCGTCAATCGCCCAAGTCAGAATTCACACTTATCCTTTATCTTAAGAAAACTAGGGAGCTTAACAAAAATGCCTCGACTTTTGTTGATTTCGTGCACCACATAAATGGCAGTTGTATAAGAAAAACATTGTACAAATTGAAAATCAAGAAATCAGTTATCCGTTTTCGTCATCCTCACTCCCAAAACGAGTAAAAAAAGAGACACTTTGTTACTGCCTGAATAGCAGATCCCGTATTGCGGGGTCTATTCATCACCACTTCTACTCCCACCTTTCTCTCCTTTCATTCTCTCTTTACTTTGGTGTCTCAGTCTTGTGTCACGGTACGTGTTCTAGGTTTATCAGATCGAACTCCGGCTACGCTGAATTCTCCTTGGATTTCCTATTGATAGCATCGGTATCAAATCAACAAAAACTAACACGAACAGTCTCGTGTAAGACATCACTTCGAGGCGTTCTCTTTATATTTGAGCACGGGAGCAAAAAATAGAGCTCCGCCGCCAGTTGTTGGATTGCCTTTAAACTCGACAAACATGGCACAGAGTAATGAAAACACAAAAGAAGTAACCTTTCACGGACAATGGGGAACATGGCATTAAATCGCCCAAACATGGATTCTATAGTGGAAAGCAGGCAGGAGACCACAAAGTCACAAAGCCGGAGTGATATTGTACACTTTAGTAATAAAGCAACAAAGAGTTGTAAGCTAACGCGCTATAATAATGCATTGTGGTACTTTAAACGGTTTGTCATACAGGAAATAACGAAGAAAGGTGAAAGAGGGGGGGGGGGATGAGAAAGATACATCTCTTCAGGAAAAAAAACCCTATTTTAAAAATTTATTTTTAGATGAGATAAGGTTATAAATCACGTGACTAGAAATTATTTTTTAATTTAAAAAAATGGGTACAAGATTTTACGATAAACATAACGTCGATGCTTAAAAACACATGTCAGTGTTAACCTTAGCGTTATGATGAAAAATTCAAGCCATAAGTTTATAATTCCATTTTATCACTAACTTCAGGGCGAGGGCAAGTGGGGCTTTATAATGAAAAACCTACTAAAATAAAATAACAGTGCCCCTGATTCACCACAACACAAGTGCTCGACAGTGCCGCAACAGAGAAAGCATCAAATTTGTAGAAAGCCAAAATAAATAGGAGCAAGTTTTGAAATAAACCCAATCACGTGTTGCATATTTGATCACGCCATCTCGTAATAATTCCCATGATTTCACACGCATATACTCTCAATTGAAAGCAGACGACAATGTTCTAAGTATTATTATTGCTGTTAGCCTTTATTCAAATGGAATTCTCGTGAAGCACTCCTGCGAAATAAATCTCATAAGTTGCCTTGTTGTTACGTGACGAAAAATAGTATCAAATCACTCGACGTTTACGTGTATCCCAAAAGAAATCAATCTTGGGCCTAAAATTGGCTCGAAATTCATATCTATATGTACAAAAATTTTAATTTTGTTGAAATGATTTATTGGCATTTCAAATGTAAATCAGTGTAAGATTTAAAAAAGAGAAATAATATTTCAATTCAATTGTAGTTGGATATTAGCATATATTCTCAAGCAAATAAGATACCATATAGTATGATATTTTCACCTTTAACCTACCCCGAATTTAAAAAGTATTTTTTTTTAATTATTCGGATCCCCATCCCCCCCGTTCCATTATCTCCAATAAGGTTGTTTTCCAACAGTTCGAGTAATTTGGCATCATATTTTTGTGAGTAACTCACGCACTGGAGCAAAGTTCCGCTATCTTTTATTTAAATATTGACATTAAGGGCTCGCGTTCAACTGATGACTAGTTGTTGCAGTACCGTGAACTCGTAGTTCAGTTCATTAAAAACCTGAATGAATTAAGTCACCAAGCTTCAGTTAACACATGTAAAACTTTCTACACTAGCGCTGTTAAATGGGAATATTAAGATTGATTAATTCGATTCAAGAAAGTATTTTATCGTTTTTTGATATTTATTAATACTTTCTAATTGATTTGAAATTTTAGAAGAAATAAGCTGATTTATAAAGATTAGAGTTAACGATTTTTACGTATAAATTTTGAATGAGGCAACATATTACGTTTTCCTCTTAGTAAAATTAATTTTTGACGAGGACATTTGTAATAGGAGAAAAAAAGGAGCATTTAGGGCAATCAATTTATCACACACACAGATTGAAATATGTTCACTTTAAATTTTAAACCGATAAGTTATAAAAATAGAAATATCAGGTTGAACAAAAACCCAGCGGTAGTCGAATTTAAGACGAATCACCCATTTATATTATGAGATTCTAGGCCTACACAATCCAAAATTAAGTGAATTTTAAGACAGCATGCCATGTGCGAAAAAGTTGCGGTTTTCGTTTCGGAGATAGAATATAAATCAGTATTCAGAAAGGCTGGTGGTAGTGAGGAATCAGCGCACTGGGTTGAAATTATGCTTCATAACAAAAGCCTACATGTGAAAGACACCACTATTTGAGAACATACAATTTTAATCAGTCTTGCGTTCTCTTACCGTGTTTTTCAGAAATCTCCTCTTCCTTTTTTTCAACATTGTTATTTGTTTCATCTCTTCTTTTGTCTATTTCTTCATCACCATCCTCACCAATGTCCCTTACATCATCCTCATCTTCATCTTTGTCATTTTCCTCATCGCTGTCCTTGTTACTGCCCTCCCCACATCTATTCCGGGGGGACCAAGTCATTTTATTATCCTTTTTCAGTCTCCTTCTTGCGTTTGCAAACCACGTAGATACTTGTGTCAAAGTCATCTTCGTGATTATTGCGAGCATTATTTTCTCTCCTTTGGTCGGGTAGGGGTTCTTTCTGTGTTCGTAAAGCCATGCCTTTAAAGTGCTTGTTGTTTCCCGAGTTGCGTTCTTGCGGCGCGCACTATTTAAGTCGACTCCAAAGCTGAAATCACAGTAGACGATGACAGTCAAGCGCTTGTTTTGTGTAAGCTCGCGGGGTCCCCTTTCATTTATTTCATTTCTTTTTAATTCTGTTCGGTGGACAGCTCGTTTTTCATTACAATGTGTCTGGTAATACAATTGAGAAAAAGATGTGCTTCGCCCTCATTTCCTATTTAAATTATAATTTCATTTGAGGAGCGTGCCTAAATCTGGGGTACACTGTAGCTCACAACGCTGACGACACGTTCATTTCGTGATCCGCCATATTGGAAAATTCCCTGCACTAAACTAGAACCACCAAGACACGTCCATTAAGCCAAATATTAATTTGATTAAGCCTCTTATATCGGAATAATTGATGAGATAATGCCCCAATTACTCCTTCTTCATTAGTCTGGGTTTGCCGTAAAAAAACCGTCAAGCACTGCAGAGGGTGGTTGAACAAGGCTTACCCTTGTGCATTCCCAGACACGTAGAATATAGCTTGGGATATAGGTCTATTATAGCATTTGAACTTTCTGTGACTTGTGTCGTTGTAAATAAATTGTTTTAAACTAACCTTATAGAAGCTAAAAATGCTACTAATTTTCATAGATGTAAGTTAAGTTTATCTCTTTAAATTTAATCCAAACTAAAATAGATCCCCACTTAGGTATAACTCAAAATTGCACTATCAATAATTTTGTATTCAGAGTTTGGGATTACTTCTCAAACAGCGCACTTAAGACTCTTAAAAATAAAGCTCAATTAACAATTTATAAAATATATTTTTGTCTACCTGGATCCATAAGGATAGGCCGCCGCGGCCGCCGCCATAGAAGTCGGATCGTAGGGATAGCTGTATGCAGAAGGCTGCGGCAGACCCCGCCATGACTCGCCCCCCTCCTTTATATCGTAATTCTGAAGATTAATATAAAATCTAAATGCATATATAAAAAAAACACACACACATCATTCATTTTTTTTTACACAGATTGTGTACGGATTCGGATAGAGGGGCAAGCAAAAGGTAAAGCTGAATACTTAGAAATATATTATTTTATACATACATACATGGAAATAAAAAAAAAAAAAGATTTGAAAAATTACGAAAAGAAAATTTTAAAAAAATGTGCATATCAATTGGATAAAACGAGCACACTTTTTACGATAAAAACTCAGCCTGTGCTGTTCTTCTACACTCTAATAACCCGGCGGCACAATGGCGTCTAATTTCCGCTAGATTCATCTCAATGCCTTAGTCGACACATAATAAGCTTATATTACAAAATCTTCTCTTAAATTTCCTGCGCTGCGAACATCAGCGACGCGCAGTATTTTGCTTCTATCCTCTGTCAATAAAGCGCAAATCGACTTTTCAGCGATTTCAATTTTGTCCTGACTCGAATCGAGCTCGGAGAGTAGATGGGTTCAGTTAATCTGACCTACGTGGCTCTTTTACCGCAGAAAGCTATCTAAAGGTGAGTAATATAGCGGTAATTCTGTTAGATATATATCGCCGGCGTTAAATGGGCGTAATCAGCAATTGTTTAACTGTTTGCCAATTGCCTCTAATCTGGGTTAATTGTCACACGAATGGTGAGAATAATCGCATTTAAGATAGGATCGTTTTCAACTGAGATTATCGCTCTCGGTCTCGTGCCTTTTTATCCTTCATCAAGCGTGCCCAAAGATAAAATGATACAAATATTTTGATTGAAAAATAAAGGAACAAAAAGTAAGCCATTCATTAAGAATAAAAAAATACACATAATGTTAAAAATATTTATATGACCCTTTTCTGCAAATTGGGTCGAAAATGTGTTTTTAAGATCAACTCGCACAGAGGGGGAATTAAATCTATCCAATTACGTCACTTGACTTATACAGCAAGTGTTCCACATATTACACCACACATCAGAACCATATTGTACTCTCTTAAAAAGATAACCGCACGTACCAGAGGCGAGTAGAACGCCGAAGGATCTGCTGGGTGCCCGAACGCCGACATGTACCCCTGTGCAGCGTACGCCGCCGCTGGCGAGTAGACGCCGTCCGGTAGGCCTGTGACGGCCCGGGGGTAGGGGAGCAAGCTAGGGCTGTATTGGCAAGAGCACACCGTCTGGCCCGTGTGAGGGTCGGTGAGGATTGCTCGACCTGTCTCGCAGCACGGCGCAGACGCCGACGTTGCAGTTACTGAGGGTGTCCCGCTGGCAGCCGCAGACATTAAAAACTACAACGTACAATATAAAGGGATCATATGATTTGTTCATCAACGAATGATTTCAGTCTCGATTCTAATTGTTATTAATTATTTTGTTATTAGATCTTTTGAAGCCAAAGGCCGTGCACTCCGCCAAGGAGCTCGCAGCGTGTTTATTTTTCCGCAATAAAAACAGTCACTTAACCCTTGACGACCTACCCAATTAGAATTGCCCAAAAATTAATTTTACGATCATCTAAAAAAATCGTCCCGGTCGCACCAGGAATTTATTTAACCCTACAAAGAATTCTAGGAACTTGTGAAGCTGTAAGAATAATAAATCCCTTGTGAGTTCGTACCTGTGTTGACCCGATGGAAGAAGCGACAGAAGGGAACGCCGCGTAGCCGAATTGCGGGTACGCCGACATATTGTCAGTTTACCCTGGGTGCCTTAGAATCTCAGCCTGATACGGGGAAAGAGGAGCCTTCGTGTCGAAGAGCCGACGCACGGAGCAAAAAGGTCATTCGCGAGCTCGCCCTCTTTCCGACTCCCGCTAAGCTGTGTTTGCCTCTAGCTCTCTGCACTCCGGTCTTTCTCTCCTGCCCTGCCCTTAAAATACGCGATTACTTGTCCCGGGGCGTTGAGTTAATCCAAGGAGAAAGAATCAGTCGCAGTATGGAACGTGTCAAAACATGGGAACCCTTTAGTCCGTGATCAGTCATAGAATATGTCAATATTATACAGGCCGGATAGAGCGATTATTTCACTCAGTATCCCTGGTTTAGCTTGCACTTGGGCTCGTGTTGGAAGTGGGTCTTAACTCCATTGACAACGCTCCAATCGCTGCCCCTAACCCACTGAAGCTGACCTAACATGTAACCCTTCCGTTGATTGGTCTTCACCTCAGTGTAAACAAAAAACACGGAGAAGTGTTTTGTCAATAGTAATTTAAGCTCCGCCTGTGTCGAGGTTATTGGCATTAGTTATGCCCCTCCCACTTTTGCAAAAGAAAAATCTACTAAAATTAAGAAAAAGTGTTTAAATTCATACTTTTTTCTTTTGGAAATGGGACGAAAAAGTTTTACCCATGTTGGCTGTCCAAAATGATTAATACGCACAGCATTTTTATAAATTCAAGCAAAACTGATTTAATAATTCATGACATGTACACGAGGCCAAGGCTTGATTTACAGCTGACCAGTGGCTACCTAATCTGTGACCACATGTTCCGCTAGTAGTCTGTAACAAAATTACTGTACCGCCTAAACTTTAATTTTGTACATTATTTTAGTTCCCCCCTGTGATATCAAAGAGCAGGGGCTAGCTATGACTGGTCACAGGAAAGTAGATTAACCAGGTAATGTGGTTGCTCTAGGTCTCAGTTGAAAAATCTTTCCGCTTATCAAGTTGACTTAGTTTGAGACGAAATGGTGGCTGCTGTTTACTTTCAGGGTCAACAGATTTGCATAGATGCATGACTGTTATCTTGGTTGTGTTTAACATGACGGGCCTTTGGCAGGTCCCGCATTTATCGCTGCCAGTTGCTGCTCACTCGCGGACACACTTCACCCCGACAGCACCTCGAGTCCAACGCGCGCCTTTTCACAGTTGTCCTTACAAAAAACGCGCGCTTTTTAACTACGTGCACAAGCATGCGCTCACACACTCAGCGCTAACATATGAAATGCTACTGTGCACCCAGATTTACGACCCAGAAGGGGACGCTAACCTTTGTTGACGGTCTTAAAGGAAGGCGGGACAAGCAATCAGTCGTCCCGCCCTAATCTTGTACAGATCGACCATATATTGTTTGTACGGTAATTATTGATCGCGTAATACCAGGTAATGAGCAATTAAAGGGAGGTGCACTCAGCATGACCTTACGTAATTCCGTTGTTAAACAACTCCTCCGCGTTCTTCCCCAAATACAGGGCGCGCGTGCAGCAAGAGAGCCCCAAGAGAGCCTATCCCCGTAATCTGATATATTTTGGGCATCTCCCTACTCTGCTTTCACTATGAATTAGAAATATACCAAGCACAGCAAGTAACGATGAACTCATCTGTCGGCTAGTAAATTAATTTGAAAACACATATGCAAATATAAGACAAAGATCGTTATTTAATAAATACCCACATCTTTATCATTTCTTTTGAGGGAGGATGTTATTGTTCTTAAAGAGAAAAAAAAGGACGTCTAAATCAAACTAGAGTTAACCACGAGAATACGTTTCTGGTATTTAACACACGTTCAAAACGCACCAGATCCTTTTATCTCTTTTTTTACTGACCACGTACCCTGAGGGAAATCCAGCCAAGATACAAGCTAGTTGTACCTAACAAGACAGCAGATCTTAGATTAAACATATTTACTTACAAATGTTTATCTGTTCTTTTCTGCTCTGGGCAGCTACCGCGAGCGCACAGAGCCCCAGTCCCGTAGAGGCTGGAGTATTGGGAAACTCTGTTCTCTAGAAGTGGCCGCCCCTATGGGCACATCCATACAACTGATGCCATCGGTGCTGATACATGTCCGGGTTGTTAAAACACCACCAAACACAGATATCTCGGAATTAATATTCTCCTACGCGTGCTGCAGTCTTGATTCTAATGCCAAACACGGCGGGCTAACCGAATTATACTTACTACGAGTGTACGGGGACGGAATATATTTCTGTCTGGTTTGTTCTTTGGTTTTTACATGTATGCCTCAGTAGTTATTTGTGCTGTAAAGCTTCCTCTGCGATATTTATTGTTTAAGATGCGTACACAAGGAGATCTTGAAGATGTCCTGCATATTGTACAAATTAGCACAAAAGACAGAAGTCCAGGTGGAAATCCCAAATGGCTGAAAACAATGGATGGACGTACAGGACCTTTCTCGACTAAACAATTCACTTCATACTTTGTATTCCATTCTGTTTCAAATTCGGGGTATTGGATAAAATATAGGAATACAACCGGAGTACTAACCCATTATTATTATTATTATTATTATTATTATTATTTTGTTTTTTTTTTCGAAAATGCAAAATATCAACAACGAAGAAAAAGGACCAACTATGAACGTAGAACTACAATGCCAGCCCAGTTGGACCTGACCAATAAACAACCAGATAAAGAAACAAATGAATTTTTTAAAATTGTTTATTGTTCTTCATTAAATAAGTCAGAAATAAAAAGATGTGTTTTATGGTAAGGTGCTCAGTTTGCTATACACTTGAAGCGATTTTCAACATATTTTGATTTTTATAATGCAGGTCATTTGATCCACGGATTGGTCTAAATATTTAAAAAATATACAGCGTGATCAAATATTTGGTCTTACTACACAACAAGTTAATCTTTTTCGCCAATATGCTGTAACTTATTTGACGGACCTAATCATGTTTAAATATTGAACAGAATTAATCTTCTACTTAGTTATAGAGACAACATGTTCGTTTTGCTGTCCTAAATATACTTCATTTTACTTTTTAATACGCCCTGTGCTTACACTGTACATCTCTTCTTTATGTTATGAAATGCATACCCCTGTTAAATAAATACATTTTATGTTATGATTCAAAAAGAGGTGTTGCAGCGCGCCTCCAGCAAGAAGAAACAACAATCTTAATACATATGTTTATATGACATTTTTGAGTTAAGATTCGGCCAAGCAAACGATCAGAAAGTTACATAAATTTGAATACTCATTAATCATATATTTGCACCCAAGCCACGTTTTATGTCCATTTAAAACAATGAAGAAAAAGAGGTATAATCACATTCGGACAAACACCTGTAAGTCTATGACCTGCGTCTGGAGATTGGAAAAAAGTTACGAACATACAGTGGATCAACTAGTCTTACAACCAATTCTGTTCAGAATATTAGGAGAAAATCGCCACTTGTTAGAGGTGCGCGTCATGCGGTGGTCGAAACCCCGAGGTAGAGCAACATGTCTACATTCTGTTTTAGAAATTCTTTTTATCATTTGTTTCTTTATTCCATCCATTTCTTTGTTTATCTATTCATTTATTTGTTATTTTGTCACCCAGGTAACAAAGTCTGATCTGATGATCGTAACTAANGAATATATTTCTGTCTGGTTTGTTCTTTGGTTTTTACATGTATGCCTCAGTAGTTATTTGTGCTGTAAAGCTTCCTCTGCGATATTTATTGTTTAAGATGCGTACACAAGGAGATCTTGAAGATGTCCTGCATATTGTACAAATTAGCACAAAAGACAGAAGTCCAGGTGGAAATCCCAAATGGCTGAAAACAATGGATGGACGTACAGGACCTTTCTCGACTAAACAATTCACTTCATACTTTGTATTCCATTCTGTTTCAAATTCGGGGTATTGGATAAAATATAGGAATACAACCGGAGTACTAACCCATTATTATTATTATTATTATTATTATTATTATTTTGTTTTTTTTTTCGAAAATGCAAAATATCAACAACGAAGAAAAAGGACCAACTATGAACGTAGAACTACAATGCCAGCCCAGTTGGACCTGACCAATAAACAACCAGATAAAGAAACAAATGAATTTTTTAAAATTGTTTATTGTTCTTCATTAAATAAGTCAGAAATAAAAAGATGTGTTTTATGGTAAGGTGCTCAGTTTGCTATACACTTGAAGCGATTTTCAACATATTTTGATTTTTATAATGCAGGTCATTTGATCCACGGATTGGTCTAAATATTTAAAAAATATACAGCGTGATCGAATATTTGGTCTTACTAGACAACAAGTTAATCTTTTTCGCCAATATGCTGTAACTTATTTGACGGACCTAATCATGTTTAAATATTGAACAGAATTAATCTTCTACTTAGTTAAAGAGACAACATGTTCGTTTTGCTGTCCTAAATATACTTCATTTTACTTTTTAAGACGCCCTGTGCTTACACTGTACATCTCTTCTTTATGTTATGAAATGCATACCCCTGTTAAATAAATACAATTTTATGTTATGATTCAAAAAGAAGTCTTTCAGCGCGCCTCCAGCAAGAAGAAACAGCAATCTATAAACATATGTTTATATGACATTTTTGAGTTAAGATTCTGCCAAGCAAACGATCAGAAAGTTTCATAAATTTAAATACTCATTAATCATATATTTGCACCCAAGCCACGTTTTATGTCCATTTAAAACAATGAAGAAAAAGAGGTATAATCACATTCGGACAAACACCTGTAAGTCTATGACCTGCGTCTGGAGATTGGAAAAAAGTTACGAACATATAGTGGATCAACTAGTCTTACAACCAATTCTGTTCAGAATATTAGGAGAAAATCGCCACTTGTTAGAGGTGCGCGTCATGCGGTGGTCGAAACCCCGAGGTAGAGCAACATGTCAACATTCTGTTTTAGAAATTCTTTTTATCATTTGTTTCTTTATTCCATCCATTTCTTTGTTTATCTATTCATTTTTTTGTTATTTTGTCACCCAGGTAACAAAGTCTGATCTGATGATCGTAACTAAAAAAAAAAAAAAAAAAAAGACAACAAGTAGGCTTATCATAACATAGTGGCCTACACGTGATCCTCTAGTAGAACATTCTTAATGGCATGCTGTAGACTAGTATCTTTGTTATTTATGTTTCCATATGCTTTTTAAAAGATATCCCCCCATTATCAGGGCTCAGGTGACTCTTAGGCGGTGGTCTGAATAATAGCGCCTGGCAACGTATTTCCGTTGAAGGAAAGAAGGACAATAGGGCGCCTCGCCCGCCATGGCGGAACATTTGCCTCCCAGAATTTAATGTAATAGTCACGGCTGATGGCCGTTTACCATGTCTCGGGATTATATGATTAAGCGTCACAACAATCGGACGACAATTTTTAATCATTTTCATAGTTGGTTCCCAGCAAAAAATGCGTCTACTACATGACTGAAGTATGTCGTCTGCCCGGTCGTCTGTCATGCTTGGGGGCCATGTTAACGATGTAATGGCCGATGCTAAGTATGTAGATAATGGGAAATGTCGGCTGCTGTAGACCTATGTTAGAGGTGCTGTGAGACAATGGGCTTTGATGTCATTTTTCTTGTTCAGCAATTTGTCAGACGACTCCGCTTGCCATACTAGCATACAGTTACGCGTGCCATGACCGCCGCCCCAAGTTCTATAATTCGACGGCCACATTAATTTGGTAGACCCGTAAATTAACCTTTGAGTTGTCTCTAAAACCAAACTCCAGGATATTTATATGCGCACACGTCTTAGCATCGTGAAGGGTTTCACAAAATACAAGCTGAGGCAAATCATTTTAAGCCGTTTTAACCAATAGATTAATCGATAGATCACAATTCACACGTATATTATAGGCCCTAAGTTCCGTTTCCTTTTTTCACCCCGTTCTTTTAAATGTAAAACTGTGTATTTTTTGTAGGCCTACAAGAGCTCTTTTTGCTAATATTTGAGTAAATTACTTTCTTGAGTTTCTGCTCATTTTACAAATATTCAATAGATGCTATTCAACTTCCTTGTGGTATCCATAATAGGGGTAGGCCTTGGCGAAACTTACTTTCCTGACATAAGAAATTGGAAAACGAATCAATAATAGAGTAAAGAGTCACAGTCGTGCAAATATGAGCATAAAAATTCTGGGAATTAGAATCAAATTAAATCAAACTGCCCTCAGTAATGCACATTTTGAAAACTAATCAAAACTTACAACACATATACTTGAAAAACACATATTCTTGAAATTGTTGAAAAACGC